GAATAAATCAAAAAAGAAATGTTTTTCTGTGTGAGGAATAACACATATACAGAAACATTAAAAATAAACATAAGCTCAATGAATTATCAAAAAGTGAATATTGATGCTATCACCACCCAGGTAGAAAAATATAACATTATCATCATCCCAAAGCCCCCTTGTGTCCCTTTCCAATTATTACTTTCTTCATCCTCTTAAAAATTATAACCATTATGCTGACTTGTAGCACTATAATTTTGCCTGCTTCTGAACTTTATATAAATAGAACCATACAGTATTACTATTTTGCATTTGGCTTTTTTTGCTCAATACTCTTTGTGAAACTCATTCCTGTTGTTACCTGCAGCTTTTGTTCATTCATTGTTACTGCTATTTGTCATCAGCATTTCATTGTGTAAATACACCACCATTTATTTATGTTTCTTCTGTTATACATGTCTCTTGGTGCCCATGAGCACATATTTCTATTGGGTGTATACCTGTGATGGAATTGCTAGTCATAGGGTATGTAGACTTTAATAATGTCTTTTGATTAATGAAAACTTTTAACTTTTATGTAGTGCAGTTAATTAATCTTTACTATTAATGTTAATGTTTTCATTGCATTTCATTTAGCTCTGCAATTCATTTATAATTTTTTTCGTATATGGTATAAAGCAGTAGTATCCCCATATGGTTGTCCAATTGCTTCAGCCTAATTTATTGAAAACACCACTCTTTCCCCAGTGCTTGACAGATTTATTTTAAAAATAATCTAATGTGCACATATGCAGAGATATTTATCTGGGTCTTTATTCCCTCCTATATTTTGCCCAAACTGCACTTAATTATTTAATGATAAATCTCTCTATCTGATGGAACAGGTCTCTTTTCCTTCTTCAGAGTGTTTTTGCTAGTCTTGGCCCTCTGTATCAATTGGTTCATTTTTTGAAAAACAAAATTAAAATTGGGATTTCAATTGGGATTGCAGTGATTAATTTGGAGAGAACTGACATCTTTATTATATTGAGTCTTCTAACAATAAATAAAATACAACCCTCTGTTTATTTAGGTCTTCTTAATTTCCTTTTATTATGTTTGATCTTTTTCTGTGTAGAGAGGCTTACACATCTTTCATTTTTACTCAGTATGTCATGGATTTTGGTACTTTAAAAAATCACATATTTAAAACCATTTCTTATTCTAACTGTATGTTGCTAATGCATAAAAATATTTGATTTTTTCATATTGACCATGCATTCAGCACTTTGCTAAACTCACTTTTAAATTCTTATATGTATGTGTCAATTCCTTTGTAAATGATAATTTTATTTTTTTCATTTTGAGTTTTGAAACTTTTAATTAACTAATTAATTAATCTATTACCTTCCTGTACTTGCTAAGATCTCTAGTTCAATTCTTTTTCTGTTTTATTGTTTTCCCTTCTGGTTCAGTTTTGAATGGCAGCAGTGACAGGGCATGCTTGTTTTGTTTTTGATAACAAAGAAATAATTGATTGTCTGTTTCTCTTTTTCTCCAGTTTTGTCTGTAAATTCTATCGAAGGACACATAAGATAAGCATTTTTCTTGCTAGTATGGAAAGATGACAATTTCCCCCACATTAATATATCAGTTCTAAAATGTCCCAATCTAAATCCCAAGGGGATTTTTTTATAGCCTTGACACACTGATTCAAAAATTTATTTAAAGAAGAATATATGTAAGAACTGCCAAGGAAGTGAAAATAATGAGAGGGCTTGGGCTAGATCTTAAGATGCATTTGTTTTAGGTCAGCAGTCTAGAAGCAGAGAAGAAGATAGTGATTCTTGTTCAGGTAATTTTTAGGAAGAGGAGAGGAGAGTGTTTGAGCAAAGAAGGATAGAGTAAGAGAAACATGGGAATCAGTCATGTGTTCTCATCTAGAGATTATCTTCAATTTGATCCCCTGGGCAAAGCTCTGCAGGACAAATTGCACCGCAAGATTAGTCCTATTTTGAGGCAAGGGGTCTGTCCTGTTCTTCTATACCCTTTTGCCTAAGGGTCACACCCGAGACATGCCATAGCTGGAGGTGGGGTGTTGTGTAGCTTCTTAGGCTGGTGGTCCCCTCTAGCTGTGAATTATCAACCAAAACAGCAACTGAATGGTGGTGGCGCTGACTGGTCAAGGGAATCCCAGCAGATCCACTACAACATTACAGGCTGGGAGAAGAGCATCAGTAACAGACATGCAGAGGTTGTGCCCAAACAGGATGGGATATGGAACCCATTAGTGCTCTGGTCCAGGGTTTAATTATTTCCCATCCTGACCTAGACATAGGAGCCATTTTTATGGTTTCAAATCATCAATATATTTTCTACCTTTGGGACAGTTTTGATACTGGGAGGAAGGCACTGATAAAATAGAAAAATAGGGAGCATGTGATGACATTGAAAATTAGGTTTGAAAATTAGAACACAGATGAACATCTGCAGCCAGAGGATTTCGGTGTCTAGTGATTGACAGCATTAGCAGTTCCCAGTGATGACATCACCCAAAGCATAACTGGGCGTTGGGGCTCTGAGAGGAGAGGCAAGGCAGCTCCTGGGAAATGAGAGATGCTGACAGCATGAACTGTGATGTCCGTGGGGCTGGCATAGGTTAGGATGTCCGGATAGCCATGTTTCCAGCCCTAGGGGGACCTATGGTTGGGGTAGAGTGCACAGAGACAGGGTGAATCTCCAAAGGGAATATTGAAGGTGACTGGAGGAAGAAAAGCTTGGAAGAAGCAAGAGTGAAGAGAGGATAGGATTGGGGACCTTGGTTCCTGACCCCAAGATGTGAGTGGTTGTCCCCTGTAAAGACTATGTGGAATGTGGTGGTCTTCAGGGAAAGCCACGCTCCTTGGTGACAGCAGGGTGGTAGAGAAAATGCTTTAGGAAAAAGCAGAGAGCTTATGGAAATAGCTGGGCAATAAAACAGGGAATCCAGGGTCCCAGACAAAGAAATTAGAAGGTATAAACTAATAGGGATATTCAAATATAGAGCATTATTACCAACTGTTGGGTAAATGGAAGTTTTCAACCAGAATTCTGCTTGGCCTTGATAGTATATGCACGTAAGGGTCTGTTTGCATATCAATGTGATGTTTATGCCAGTTCAGGGGTGGAGAGGAAGAACCCATTCTTTCCTCCCCTCCATTCCTGGTGTGTAATTGGTCAGGTGCAGGTCAGTCCCCTGGGACCTACCCACGGAGTTCTTCCTGGAAGAAGTGGGCAGAAGGGGGTGCATGCTGCAGCTGGAGGGATGGAGTCTGGGGAGTGGAGCCAAGTGAGAGGAGCAGGGAGCGCTGGCTGAGAGAGGGGAGTGTGTGGGAGAGGAAGAGGGGCTGAGCTGGGAGAAATAAAAACACTTTCCCTATCTTCTCACCTTTGTTTTCCTTCAGTCTCACTGGATTTACAGGAATGTTGCCCTGCACAGGTAACCCCCTTCCCCCTGGAGTCACACACCTCAGAAAAATTTCATACCATTTTAAAGAAACTAACATTTTTGTTTCATTAGCATCCAGGGTTAACTGCATAACTAAATGCTAATTCTTTCTGAACCTTACTCAATTTGCATATTTCTCAGTGACAATTACAAAGTAAGGTTATCAAGTACTGCTTTAGGTTTGTTATTTAAAGACCTGGAATAAAAAGACTTTTTAAAAAAAGAGCTGGAATAAAAACATTTTCCTGCCAATTCTGAGTATTAAGATGAGCACCTCTGTTTCCAATGCCCTTAGAAGTGTATCACTGAGCTTCTTCCTCAGGTGGACACAGGGGTGAGAGAGAAGAACTAAGGTGTCCTTCTAGGATTTGTTGTAGTGCTGACTAATCTTCACACTATAAGACTAAAGCTTTGAATAACAAAAACCCTGTTTCTTTTAATGAACTAGTAGAGCCAGTAGGGATACCCCAGGCTTGGCAAGAAGTCTGAAATTTGGAGGTAGAATTTCCTACTGAATTTTTAAAAATAGTGTTGTTTTCCTGAAATCAGTGAGCTTGTTGGATGTTTATGAATTATTGGCACTTAATCCAGTGTCTGGGACATAATAGACTCTCAACAAATGTTTATTGAGTGAATTAAAATGAGAGATTGCATAATTAACAGACAGAATACTTGAGAACCAGAGTGGTGTGTGTGTGTGTGTGTTTAGCTGCCTGCCCCAACTTTTCTCACTTTTTCTTGTTGTTTTCTACAGGATGGTTATCTTTCATTTTCTTTTTTGCATTTGGCAACCTAGAATAATGCAGCCTCAAAGTTAACTTTACTACAGAGACCGGGCTTGTCAGGACATATGTTGGACATCTGTTGTAAGAGAAGTATGCAGTAAATCAGATCTTCATCAGGCTATTAATGATGAAGCCAGGGCTGCACATCACAATCCCCTGGGGTCATAAAAATTCTGATGCTTAGTTCCCATCCCAGAGAAGCTGATTTGGTTGTTTCTGGTAGGGCTTTGTTTCTGGTGAATTTTTAAGATTCACAGGAGATTTTAATATATACCCAAGGTGGAAAACCAGGGCTTTAGACAATTCTTTCCAGAAGATCCTTGATACTATTCGGGATGAAGGCCCTCTCATGGTGTCCCTTATTGGGTCATGATTAGTTTAACTTGGCCATCCTAGTGCTGTCTTTTGGTCCTGGGTCAAGCTCCTGGTTATTTTGTCATCTTGTTAATTTAGATTGCTTTATGCTTGGGCCCCCAGAAGAATTTCTAAGGGATTTTGGAGAAGATAGAAATTCAGTGTCTCTATATCTGTAGTGCATAGTCTTTGAGCTACAGTTCCCAACATGATAGCTGACAATGTCAAGTGTGTAACTTCATGACCATGAATGAAAGAAATTGGAAACTCTGTCCTCAGTTTTGTCAGAAACCTTGCTGGTGAATTTTATTAGGCAAAGAATCATTGAGAAACCAAAGGCTGTTTCACTGGAAATGCAAATGTTAATGACTAGGGAGAGGCGGAGAGAGCTATAAATGAAAGATCTCAACAACTCATTTTACACCTTCCTGGTTCCTTGCCCAGCCACCCTATTTCTCCAAAAGCCAGGTAAGTTCTTCCTTCAACTCCGACTTAAGACTCCTGTATTTTGAGAACACGGATGTTTGTGGATTCGAAAGAAATACTTTAATGGTGCAAAACTTTCCTTGTGGTGGTTTTATTTAATTCAGTGCCTATAAGACAATGCAACTTCTCCGTCTTGTTTGAAGTAAGTTAATTCAATTTATTTCCGAGTTAACCTGCAAGGAGACCCTGGGTTGAAATGGAAGTTTTAACAGCAGATGGGCTTCTCACAACAAACCCCCTAAGTATGTAGGCGTTCAAAAAATCTTATTCTTCATTAATCTCTTTCTTGTTTTAGGATTTTTCTTAAAGCCTTTATCAATTAGTTATAACCATAGCTGGAGATGGAGTAAATACAAACTGTATTCTATTTGTTTATAGTTAATAAATATTAATGGCTCTTTAAAAATAAAATTTTTGGTGAGATAACAAAAGTAATATGACTCGTTGTACAAGTTGGAAACAATATAGGAAAGTAGGAAAAAGAAACCCTTTCACCTTCACTGATTAATCCACGGCCAGAGTGATATCATTGTACTTTAGGGAAAGTTCAGCCTAGCTGGACTTTAATTGGGGTTTAAGAAAATTAATCTACCCTACCACTCTCTGCACCGTATTTGAATCAATTGAGAAATAGGAAGTTTCAGAGAATACACTGTTGGCTTTATTGTTGCTAAGGCTGGATGGGAGACTGCCGCTGCTTGTGTGCCTGAGGCCAGCAGGGATTCCTAGCCTGCCCCTTGCCTAGTCCCCAGTGGCAGCTGGATAAGTGGGCATCAGAGGGCCAGGGCTGGGCCTGCCTGGCGGAGCTTCCCACAGGGAGGAGGCAGCTGGCAGGCAGATGAAGACAGGTTCTGACAGACAACAGGGAGAATAAAACCATTTGAGGTTTTAACTCTGCTCCCTGGGGAAATGAGAACCACTGGGTGCTGCTAGACGGATTCACATCTCCTGTCCAGAGAAGGTTGAGAAAAAAGGGTGAGAAGCAGGCAGCAGGGACCTTTCACAAAGAGGGCGAGCATTCCCATTCCCTGGATCAATGCAGGAAGAGGAGGAGAAGCAGGATGGGTTTCTCTGAATAAAGCAACTCAAATACGAGAAAAATGCTGGTTCAGTTTTGATTGCTGTTGCTGTTCTAGATCTTGCAAGAATCGCCATGGATTCGCTCAGTGCAACAAACATTCAGTTTGGGTTTGATCTTTTCAAAGAGCTGGATAAAATAAAAGATGGCAACATCTTCTTTTCCCCTGCGGGCATCACAGCTGCCATCGGCATGCTCCTCCTGGGAAGCAGAGGAGCCACGGCGGCCCAGTTTCGGAAGGTAGGGCGGGATTCCGCTGCTTTGCAGGCACAGATTCGTCTCCAGCCCAAAAATGTACTCCTGTAGACCTGTGGGCCAGGAAACAGAGAAGGCATATGAAAACACAGAGCAATTTCATGTGTATGAGGAAAGTTCTTTTCAGTCTCCAAATGCTATTGTGCCATCTGATCCCTGGTGCTTGAAATTCCTTTGAGCAGGGGCAGGGTGAGTGCCTCTATCCAAAGCCATCAACCTCCTAATTAAAGATGGAGCCTGAAGACCAAAGCATACTGGAAGATGTTGCACAGTCCCTCCTAAGGTACAAATGGCCCATCAAAGGCGACTACGTGAATGGATACATCCATGTAGGCTCGTCTGAAGAAAACCACACTTTGGCTTGATTTTGCAAGGAGAGATATATAGACTATCAAGGCTTCTTCAACAGGCCTCCATTTCCCCCCTCCCCGATTCTGTGGGAGGTGTTCACAGCTCTAACCACTGCAGCTAATATTTTCTGTCCCTTTCAGGTGCTTTGCTTTGGAAAAAACACAGGAAGCTCAAGGATCAAGGATGAAGAGAAAGAGGTGGGGAGCATGTCTAACACCACCGGTGTGGTTGCTTTGTAGATGTGGGCTCACCGAGGAAATTGGGAGAAGGGGAAATACTTCCTGCTTGTTTTTAAGCAATAATGATCACTGCAGCCAAATAATGTTGCTAGGATCACACAGCAGTAATAAACCCTTAAAGTTAGAAAGAGACCTTAACTTTCAATCACAGTGATCACTTGGATGGAAGTGCCTATGGCAGAGTGGAGGAGTTTTGGAGTTAAACCGATTTGGGTTCCAAACCTGGCTCAGTCACTTAACAGCTGTGTTACATTGGGGAAGTCATTCACCTCTGAGCCTCTGCAAAGTGTCCAGTAGAGTGCCTGAGACACACTGGTGACTTTCCCAGTTGTGGTAGCAGTAGGAAATGTTATTACTATATTGCATTCCTTCTTTTCTCCCTTCCTTTCTTCTTATGACAATAACCAATGACCCTCCTTATATAAGCCTTGTAGTTGACCTGGGTGAGAGTCTCTCTAGTCCTGAGCTGTCAAATATAGTAGCCAACCAAGTGGCTACTGAGTTCAAACTGAGATGTGTTCTAAGTGTCAAATATACACTGGATTTCAAGATCTTAATAGGAGAAAAGAATGTCAAAGGAAAATCATTGTTCTATTCACCACACTTCTGATACCTAATGTGTGCATTTTCTCTGCACCTTAAACAATTCTGACATTAACTCCTTGGAGTCAGGGCGGTCCCCATAAGAAGGGCTCAGTCCCGCAGGATGGCCCAGTTTCAGACACCATGCTGAGGATTCCGTGACTCCCTCCTCAAGTTCAGGGATTTGCCACAACTGCTCACAGCACACAGGAGACGCTTATGTTTATTGTTTTTTTTATAAAGTACACAAAAGTAGAGCCAGATGAAGAGGTACATAGGGTGAGGTCTCAAATAGTCCCAAGAGCAGGGTGGGCCACCCTCCCGCACATGGAAGTGCTCACCAACACGGAGGCTCTCCAGACTGTAGTTTGGGGATTTCTGTGGAAGCCTCATCACACAGGCATGATCGATTATTAACTCAATTTCCAGCCCCTCTTCTTCCTGCTGGTTCTCATTATGGTTTGGTCTTTATGGTGACTAGTCCCTAGTTTAAAGCTTTTCAGGAGTCCACCAAGAGTTGTTTCATTAGAACAAAAGACGCTTCTATAATCTGGGATATTCCAAGGGATTTAGGAGCTCTGCGTCAGGAACTAGGGGAAGTGGTCAAAAGTAAGTTTTTTATTATGACACAGATGTCAAAAAACCTTACATCTTTTATGTATTTTTTTGTGTTATGTACATATAATATTTATATTTATTATAATTATGTAATTTTTATGTATTATTTTTATTGACATACTATATAGTACTTCTATATCAATATATACTTATTTATTATAGTTACATGTTAAAATAATGACATTCTTGATTTGGTTTGATAAAAGATAAAATTAAACTTAATTGCATCTGTTTCTTTTTGCTTTTAAGAATGTAGTTACTAGAAGATTTAAGGTTATATATGTGGCTCATATTATATTTCTGTGAGACAGCACTATTCTTCAGTTTATTTCCGGAAGGTAGGGTGTATGGATGTTCAACTTTATTAAATATCACCAAACTGCCTGCAAAAGGGATCACACCACTACCTTTTCCTCCCAGCAACATATACAGGCCCAGGTCGCCCAGCCGCACAGGAAGAGTGAGACCTGAAATCCCCCAGGCCTTGCAATGGCCATTATTAATGTGTAGAGATGCAATTGGTTTTTTCATGTAGATTTTGTACTCAGCAAATTTGCTGAGTTTATTAGTTTTAACAGTTTGGGGGAACTCTTTAGTTGTCCACTCTTCTTATTAGTTACATCTATTCAGATATTTTTATTTCTTCCTTGTTCAGCCCTGGTAGGTTGTATTTTATCCACTTCTTTGAGGTTCTTACCTGGAGAAGAGTCTCTCTATTCCTGAGCTATCAAATATGGTAGCTGGAAAATTCTCAGCCACTTAATTTTTTTGGATAATGCATTTTCTTCTTTCTCTTTTTTCTTGCCTTTTGGAAGGATGTTAGTATTCTTATTCTGTCTTCTAGATTTCTTTATCATACATATTTTTCATTTTTTGACCTTGTGTTACATTCTGAGAAAATTATTCAGAAGAGTCTAGTTCACTACCTTAGCAGTACATATATTCTTTAACTTGTCTATTGAGCTTTTAATATCAATGTTCATTGAATATTCATGTATAGAAGTTGTAGTTGCTTATAAAACCAACCTGAAAATTGTTGACAGTCTCTTTTCCCTGATCATATTTTCAGTATCTTTTTTGGTTAACATTCTAAATATATTGCCTTTTAATGTGATATCTGATAATGCCAATTATCCAAAATTGCCTAAAGTCCTTGAGGGTCTAATTAGCTGTTATGTTCTTTTTCCTTCAGATTCTTGATATAGGAGTTATTTCCTCTGATTTGTAATTTTGGAGTATAAGCTAATATAATATATATATATATATATTACATTTTTGTCTTGAATAAGTTCCTGGAATGTTGTCAGTCCAGGGCCCCTTTAAGTTAATTTCTTAGTTTGGGGTTTCCTAGGTCACAGGGGTGGAATACACTCAAACCCCAAGCCTATTTGACAGTCGGCATTTCCTCCCTTCCCCCATTTTCGGGTTAACTCAGTCACAATCGGCCCACTAGAGAAATATTTCTACTGTGTCCTTCTCTTTTTATCAACCCATTATTACTTGAAGGCTTCAATATCTTGGTCTGGTCACATTATATCCCAGTCAACCTGAGCTCCATAAAATGAACACTATCCATTTAAAAGACTCATAGTAACAAGGAGGGAGCCAACAGTCATATTTGACCTCAGGTTTACATATTGGATTTGAATGTGTTCAAATTTTCATTAGTTATTCACAAAATTTAACAGTGTCTTTTATGTGTCCGATACTATCTTAGACATTGGGTAAGTAAAGACAGTAAATGAACAGACAAAAACTCATGGGCTTCATGTTTTAGAGGAAGAAGGCCTTTCTGTTCTCTACTATGCTTTTCAGTTCAAAACTAATATACCTCTCTTTGCATCCAGTGTGAATGGAAGTAGGCAGGTACTGCTCAGGGGCAGCAGCAAGATGTTCCTCACTCCTTAGCTCCCAATCAGAAAACTGAGAGATTGTACAAAAAATGTCCAGATAAGTTTGTTTTTTCCCCCAGAGGCAGGGATAGATCACACTCCAGCTCAACATATAGCTCTGACAAATGGCCACTCATACCATCTGGAGTCACTTTCTTATCCACTGTCTGGAACAGAAGTTGCCAAATTTTAGAGTGGATAAGAATCAACCAAGGGGAGTACACAGGCGCTTAGAGTCTTGTGGGAAGCCAAAAGCAAACAGGGAACGTTCAGTGGACAGTTACATTTGAGATAAAAAATTCAACCTGAGCCTAAAAAGTAAGATCTGGTTGTTGAGCCCAAGGAGCAGGCTTCTTTGCATAGCTGAGATTGTCCAGGGGCTACACCACGTTCAGGGGCCACCCTTGAGGGAGAGACCCAGGAGTCACATCCTCCTGAGCAAGAATCCAGGCTTGCTTTTGCCAAGGTAACTCACTGAGCTTTTGTTTTGATTTTGAAGACTGAGGGGACAGAAGAGATACACCACCAATTCCAAGAGTTTCTGAGTGAGATAAACAGACCAACTAGTGATTATGAGCTGAAAATAGCCAACAGACTATTTGGAGAAAAGACATACCTCTTCCTTCAAGTAAGTTCTGTGGCGTCCACCACATCTGTAAGTGACAGTCATGATGCCTAAATGGCCCGGGAAGGGTTATGGGCTCTAGAAGCATGTGGCCTGATTGACTGCCTGGCTCAGCCCACATCACTGGGCCTGCTCTCCCTGCTTCTTCTCTAGACACCTGGGCCCTTTGGGAGCTTCTTCTTAATCCTAATCATCTAAATATGATTTTTTGCCTTTAACCTTATTGCATGTGTATAAAAATATGTATGTAAGTGCTCGAAGTGATTTGGTCGGGCCTGAAAAATCCCTGCTGTAATGGTCATCTTGCTGTACCTCTTGATAAGTCCATTTAAAGACTTTAGCAAGGGCCATATGGAATTTTTAACCTCTTTCTATTCCTTCTCTGTTTCTCCTAAAGAAATACTTAGATTACGTTAAAAAATATTATCATGCTGCTCTGGAACCTGTTGATTTTGTAAACGAAGCAGATGAAAGTCGAGAGAAGATTAATTCCTGGGTTGAAAGCCAAGTGGATGGTACAGTATGAATGGGTTGTTCACCATAAAAGCACTTTTTTAGTACCTGCTCTGAGAGGGGCCCTGTTCTTAACACTGTGTGGGGTGGCAAGGTGCACAAACTTTGGAAAGATTTGAGGTGGGTTAGAAAGGCAGGGCTGGGCATGAAGCATGGGAAAAGGCACTTCGGAGAGTGGCCTGGTCTCAGCAAATGTGGAAAGAGCCAAGGCGAAGCAGGAAGGGGTCCACAGGAAGTGAACTTTATGGAAACGCTTAGTGGAGAGTTTTTTGTACATGTTGGCTGATCACATCTTTGCGGCTCCTGAAAGTGAGCTGGTGTCTGTCCCTCGGTTCCCACTTTTCCTTTGTATCAGAGCCTTTCTTTCTGAGCCTGGGTCCCTAAGGGATATGTCAGAGAAGGTTTCCTTTCTCTTTATCAAGTGAGAAACTTTAAGCTCTTCCATCAAGACCTGTCTGTGCTACATACGAGGTGCTACCTGAGCCTCATCTCCACTTGAGCATCCTTTGGGGATGAGAACAACTTTCAGCCCTGTCCATGGCAGAGAACTTGACGAAGCCCTCTCTTCATCCTCCCCGCCCAGGCCCTAGTGTGAGCCAAACACACAGGGCATCCAGAAAGGAGTGTTAACGTGGAACTGCGCTTTGGGGACCAAGAGCTGGTACTTTAGCATTAGAATTTCAGAATACATTTTTTTATTCCAGTTATTAGGGAGATGCCTATTATTTCAGAATGTATTTTTTTCTTCATACTTAGTCCAAAGGAAATAAAAATTTAAAAAGCAGGAATAAAGAGGTGCTATCAAAGAATTTGTTGAAGGCAATAATTTTCAGGATTTAGTGTGGATGGGCTAAACCCAGAGACAAAAACATCAACTCCTGTTTCAATAAAATAAGAAATCTCTAAATCTTGGGTGGTAACTATATTAGATAGGTAAAAATAATCACAGCTAACACTTCCTGAGGGCTCATTCTTAGCCAGAGAGTGTTCTGCATGCTTTATACATATTTAATCATTTACTTCTTTCAACAACCCTATGAGGCAGGTTTTATTCCTGTTTTACAGATGTAGAAACAAGCACAGAGAGCTTCCCTAGCTGACAAGAGGCAAAACTGGATGCACACAGAGGCAATCTGAACTCTCACCCATCACACCTCTGTTTATCTAGTGGGATAAATAGGTGATGGGTAAAGTGAGAACCTCCCTGGACAGCCAGCAAGGCAAAGCCTTCTGGTGGTGACCTAGCCGGGTTTTTGATGATCAGTCACATTCCATCTGCCTCATACCTGCCGGGTATAGCAAAATTACAAGTGTGTAATTTTGAAAATGGACCAATTGTGCTGTTGTTTGTTTTCAGGAAAAATCAAGGACTTGCTTCCAGATGGTTCCCTAAGCAGTTCCACCAAGCTGGTGCTGGTGAACATAGTTTATTTCAAAGGGCAGTGGGACAGGGAGTTTAAGAAAGAAAACACCAAGGAGGAAAAATTTTGGCTGAATAAGGTATGGTTCTTCATTTACTTATGTGATGTGCTTCCCCATGGAATGTAAAATCTCAAGTACTATTTGAGTGGATGTACATGGTGAATAGCAAGTGATGGTTTTGAGGCTGTGATCTTCAGCATTGTTTTCAGCCAAGCTAATCATTTTGGTGAGCTAACTAGGTCGTCTTTCGCCTCTTGGACATTGTTTGTTATGTGAATTTGTTGCAGAGCACAAGTAAGCCTGTGCTGATGATGACTCAACGCCATTCCTTCAGCTTCACTTCCCCGGAGGACTTGCAAGCCCACATCCTGGGGATTCCATATAAAAACCATGACCTAAGCATGTTCGTGTTGCTGCCCAATGAAATAGATGGTCTGGAGAAGGTAAAACCCTGCATCTCCCCAGTCGTGCTTTCCTTTCTTGAGGCTTTGTATCTCAAGGTTTGCTCTGGGTGAGTCTGGAAACAGTGCTTCCATTGGGATCCAGTGTCTAGCAGTGCCAAGCAGAAATATTTCCAACTCCATGCAACAGCTACAGATGGATGTCAAAAGAGGAGCATTAAATAGTATCAGGTGTACTGAAAACAACCAATACTAAAATATTTGGGGATGTGCTAAAAGGAACATGTAAAATCATATGGAAGTTCTAAAGACCATCCCTTATTCTGGGAAATAGTTGATCTCTACAGACGTTCTTTCCCAGAAAATCACATAAGCACATATACAGCAAAATTTGTGTACTATTCGGTAGGCTCTTGGACCCTCATAATTTCTTTTTGACCAATAATTCTTTATAAAGACTTAATTTTTTTAGAGCAGTTTTAGGTTTACAGGCATAAGTGACAGGAAGGCACAGAGATTTCCCACAAACTTGTGGTCTCCACACAGGCATGGCCTCTCCCTAATCAACATCACTTACTGGAAAGGCACATTTTTTTTGAAACCAAGTATTAACCTACAATGACACATACTAATCACCCAAAGTCTATAGAATCCTTAACCTTGAACCTCTCAATTTAGTCCCACCTACTTTGCAGTTAAAAAATTGATGTGGCTAGTGTCCTGTATTTTTGAAATAAGGAAGACTTCCTTTCAAATCCCTATTCCTCTGTTTAATAGCTTTCTGTTTTTTGAAACTTCTTAACTCCTTGAACCTCAATATTTTCCCATTAAATGGGCTTCATAGTTCCTCCTGTGTAGCATTGTAATGATTAGAAAATGTATCTCCTAGAATGGGGCTAGGACATGGAACTCACTCAATAAATGATAGATGCTTTATAATTACAATACTGGATACTGTTCTGTTGCTGTGAAACATCTCTAGTAGTATTATATGTTGGAAATATTTGTGGCAGCAAAATGGCAATATATATGAAGGCTTTAAGAATATTCATACAGCAACCCAAAATCGCCAGGTGTGGGAATAACCCTTGGGAAATAGTTCAAAAGAAAAATACTGCCTTTCTGAGTCAGGTGAGAATTTACAGGTGAAAATACATTAGGATATCTAGTTTGAAATTTATAATAATAATTATTTTTGTATCCATAGTATCTATCATATGATTGATACATACTAGATAATTGTAAGTGAATGAATGGATGAATGTTGGGTTAAATTTATCAACTTGATGAAAATATTACCTGTCATTTTGGAGGGAGATGCAAGAATATGAAAAAGTTTCATTATAGCAAGTAAAATGGATATTCACTCTGATTGCAACTATATATGTATTTATATATTATAATAATGCTATATAATATAATATAAATTATTTTAATTATAACATAATTAAAACATTATTGCTTAATATATATGCATAAAAGACTGGAGGGGAATAGTAAAAACTAATAATATGCATTGGATAGAATGAGAAATGACTTGTTTTTTCATCCTTAAAAATTCATTTAATACTATTGAGTTTTCACATATACACAATTTAAATAGAGAGCTGTAAGACAAATGTCTGTTATATAAAGACAGCAGGCTAGTGAAATGAAATTTCTACCTGTATTTGTTGCTGGTATCACTAAATTTTAATTTGTTACTACAATTAACAATTTCTGACAGATACAAATCAATGTCACACTGTTTTAACTTGTGTTGATAATCATCCCATTCTTTCCTCCTTATTTTTTCTTAATAGATTGTAGATAAAGTAACTCCCGAGAAATTAGCAGAGTGGACTAGCCCAGGGCATATGGAAGAAAGGAATGTCAACCTGCACTTGCCCCGGTTTGAAGTAGAGGATGGTTACGACCTAGAGCCAATCCTGGCAGCCATGGGGGTGGAGGATGCCTTCAGCGAGCAGAAAGCTGACTTCTCTGGCATGTCCTCTGGTTCTGGGTTGAGTGTCCAGAAGTTTCTGCACAGGGCTTTTGTGATGGTAACGGAGGAAGGGACTGAGGCTGCAGCTGCCACCGGTGTGGGCCTTACGGCCCAATCACTACCAAGTTATGAAAATTTTCACTGCAATCATCCCTTCTTGTTCTTCATCAAGCACAATAAGTCCAATATCATCCTCTTCTTTGGTAGATTTTCTTCTCCTTAGGACAGTCATTGCCTTGGCAGAAAACCAGTTCTGGAATATTAATAGGACTATAGAAATGACCCATTCCTTTAAAATTTCTTTTACTTGCTCACATTTCAATCTTACCATTAAAATCAGTGATTTAATGACTGCATTAGGGTGTATGTGTTCATAATTTTCCTAAAAGAGAAATGTCCGTTTGTTTGTGCCATGTATAAAGTGAGTTCAGCTGAGGCTCATTAATAATCTCCAGTTGATTTCTTCTGAAAGTAAATCAATGTTTTGTTGTAGTTTTGTGCATGAATGGAGAGAAACAGTCTCTTCAGTAAAGACAATGGACTTGTGATTTTGGGAATTCCCAGTTCTAATATTTTGGCATATTATAATACATTGGTAAAATAAAGAGTAATTTACTCAATTCATGTGTTATTTTTTTTGCTTTCTCAGCAGATAGTGTGGCAAACTGTACATGGGAAAGAGAATTTAGAAACATATTAACAAAACAGAAATTAAACCTCCACAGCCAGAACAAAATAAAACTATATAACAGACAGAAAGGATTCCCATATTTTTATTCTCTGTTCTAACAAAGTGCATTACCCATTGTCAGTTCTGTAAGCATTTCAATGGTGTGAAAGAAATGTGATATATGAGAAGAAAATTATTGTAGCTGCTCAATGTTCCTATCCTGTCACTTTTTTGGTCATGGTGAGTATTTGGAATGACTTTTAAATGAATGAATGCTTTCTTTTTTTTTTTCCTATTTACATATTTCTGGTTATTGTGTGAGTGAACTGTGGGTATTCCCAAATGATATTTTCTGGAAGATGCTTTTGAAAGGTTCCAAATCTATTGCTGATGTTCTTTATTGTGGGCCTGCTTTACTTCTACATTTTCAGTTTTTCACAAGGATTCCATTATTGACTTATTTACAGCTCTATTGGGCTATAATTTACCTATCATAAAATTCACACATTGTAAATTTACAATTCAAGAATTTTTGGTAAATTTCTAGAGTTGTGCATATACCACCACAATTTTGTTTTAGAAAATTTCCATCACCCTAAAAAGTTTCCTTATGCATGTTCCCACCCCCAGGCCCAGGCAACCATGCATTTGTTTTCTGTCTTTATAAATTTTTCTTTCCTTTGACATTTCATATAAATGGAATACTAAAATATGTAGTCTTTTGCATCTGGCTTCTTTCACTTAGCATATGCTTTTTGAAGTTTGTTTATTCTTATTATGTATCAGGTGAGCTTTTTTTAATTGCTGAATGTTATTCCATTTCATTGAAAGGACAAATATTGTTTATCCATTTACCAGTTGATGGACATTTGGATTGTTCCCACTTTTTGGTTCCTGTGAATAATGTTGCTATGAACATTTAAATAAAGGTTTTTATGTAGATGTATGTTTTTATTTCTCTTGGGCAGATTTCAAGGAAATGTTGGGTCATATAAGGGTTTTTTTTAGCTTTTTAAGAGACTATCAGACTGTTTTCCAGTGTGGCCATATAATTTTACATTCCTATCAGCAGTATATAAAAGTTCTAGTTTCTCCACATCCTCACCAACATTCAGTTTTTTTATGATTGTAGCCATTCTAGAGAGTGAGAAGTGGTATTTCATTGTGGTTTAAATTTACATATACCTAGTAACTAATTAGGCTAAATATATTTTCATGTGCTTACTTGTCATTTATATGACTTCTTTGGTGAAATGTATATTTAAATCATATGCCTGTTTTTAAATTAGGTTGTCTTCTTGTCTTATTAGTGAGTTGAAATAACTCATTATATATATTACTACAAGTCCTTTATCACATACTTGATGTGTGAATACCTTCTCATAGTCTGTGGCTTCTTTGAATTTTCTTATTGGTCTCTTTTAAAAAAAAAGCATAACAGCTTTTTGAGATAATTTACATATCATGAAATTCACAATTTAAAGTGTACAATTCAGTGGTTTTAATATAGTTGCAGAGCTGTGTAAATATCCCTGTTACCTATTTTTGGAACATTTCCAGCATCCTCTGAAGAAATCCCACCAACATTAGCATTCACTCCTCTTTCCTTTTACTCTCATCGCATGGAAGTCTTTATTCTACTTTCTGTCTCCACGGATTTGCCTCTTTTGGACATTTTATATAAATGACATCATATCTTATGGGGTTTTTATAAGTACATTCTTTCACTGAGCATAATGAATTCAAGGTTCATCCAACTTATATAGTGAATCAGTACTTCATTGTTTCTTATGGCAGAGTAATATTCTGTTATACAGGTACTTCAGATTTTGTTTATTCATTCATCAACTGATGAATACTCATTTCCACTTTTTGGTTATTATGAATAACGCTGCTATGAACATTATGTATGTCAGTTTTGTGTGGACATATATTTTCCTTTTCCTTAGGTATATACCTAAGATTGGAATTGCTGGGTTACATGGTATCTTTATGTTTATCATTTTGAGGAACTGCCAAATTGTTTTCCAAAGCAGCTCACCATTTTACGATCCCACAGCAGTATACGGGCATTCCAGTTTCTACTCAGCTTTGCCAATACTTGTTATATTCTGGCTTTTAAATTTTAACCATCCTAGTGATGGTGAACTACTGTCTCATTGTAGTTTCAGAGTCTAGTTTATCAATATTTTCTTTGAAAGATAATACTTTTGGTGTTGTAGCTAAGAATTCTTTCCCTATCCAAGTTCACTAAGATCTTCTGTTTCCTTCTAGAAGTTTTATAGTTTAAACTTTTCCATTTGGGCCTGTGCTCTAATTGTATTTGTTTGTTTGTTTTTTGTCTGTCTTTGGGGGTGAGTGTGTGTGTGTGTGTGTGTGTGTGTGTGTGTGTGTGTGTGGTGAGGTAAGGGTTTAAGTTCAGTTTTTTTGAGTGTGGATATGTAATCATCGCAACATCTTTTCTTAAGATGATTCTTCCTATATTGAATTGTCTTGTTTTCTTTATCAAAATCAATTAATCATAAATATAAAGTTTTTTTGGTAGAGTCTCAATTTCATCTTATTGCTCTATGTGCCTACTGATATACCAACACAACATTGTCTTGATTACTGTAACTTTATAATAAGTTTTGTAATCAGGAAGTATAATTATTTTATTCTTTTAAAAAATTGTTTTGGTTACTCTAGGTCTTGTGCCTTTTCATACAAAGTTTAGCATCAGCTTGTCCACTTATTTAAAAAACCTACTGGTAGAACTGCATTGAACTTATAGATTAATTTGCTCAATATATTTTCCAATCCATGTAAATCAAGTATCTCTCCATTTTTTTAGTAATTTATTTCTTTCAGCAATATTTTGTAGATTTCTGAGTGCAAAACTTCCTTTGTTGAATTTAGTAACTTCTGATGCTGTTGTGAATGGAAATATTTTCTTAATTTATATATCAAATTATTATGTTGTATACTTTACATACAGTTCTTATTAAAAATAAAATAAAATAAAATAAAAATAAAAATTGTATTAAGAAGCATGAATATAAGATGTTTTAAGAGAATTTAAAAAGTGGGAGAGTAATAATATTAATAGTAATTAATATTAATATTAATAATTAATATATGTTGTTGAGTGATACTTTTTCTAATGCTAAAGAACTGAGTATTCTGTATTCATAAAATCTTTGAGCTTTTGGGACCAGACGCCTTCCTCTGGCTTAGGATAAAAGACAAACCAGTTCTGCTGCTTCCAACCATCACTCAGATGGCCACCCCCTTTAAAGTTTATTTTAAAAGACAAGGAAGAAAAAGAGGAGGTAATCCACCCAAGTTATGAGTAATAAGGTTTTAGGAAGTGCAGTGGCTCAAAATGCAGTAGGGATGGGCCACACATACAACAGAGATGTCATTAACCACAGTTGGAGGGAGTTCAGGGTCTTGACTGGTGCTTGCCCACCAGCTACAGATACCGGACCTTCTCACTCCACACGCGTTTGATCACGTGTTCAAGATCACCGTCTTTGGTATTACAAGTGTCCTCAATGGAGGTGGGCATGCCCACAAGTGGTAAAAGGATGGTAGTGGGAAAAAACCAAATGACACAGCTAAGCAACATCCTATTTGGCAAAGAGCAGAGGAGCTGCCGGTTAAGCCCTCTCTAGCGCCGACCGGTGCCGAATAATACCAAAGTAACAGTAGTACCACAGGCCCTTCAAAGGTAACACGGACCAGGCTTGGTCAATCATTATTAACTCATACTTTCAGTCACAATAATGGATATGAGGGGTGGAAATGTGGCCTGAAACTTCATATAAAGATAGGGAGAGAGAAATTCTATTTCCTTGGGGGTTACCAGCTGGAATAAGGTAATCTAGGTATTAGCTGAAGTCAAACACTCGTCTTCTCATGATACAGGAAGCTTTCCTTTGTATAGTTGAAGCTGTGAACAATACTGAGATTGATCAATACTTGGCATTGATGCCAAGAAATAGAGATATTCAACTATCTAGCTAGGTGTCTATGTATCCGATCACTCTGTTTTCACAGTTCTGCCAACCAGGGATGCCTGAAGTCCTAGTTGTTTTGAGGAATTCTTCTTCCTTCTGCTTCCTCTGCGTTTTTGTTATTGTTCCTAGATTGCTCCTCTATCCTCTGTACTGTATTGTTGATAGTAACTGAATATACTAATTCTGTCAGTTTGTATCTCAGCAGGAAGGAGATGACACATTTAATTTTTTTTTTGAGAGGGCATCTCTCATATTTATTGATCAAATGGTTGTTAACAACAATAAAATTCAGTATAGGGGGGTCAATGCTCAATGTACAATCATTAATCCATCTCAAGTCTAATTCTCGTCAGTCTCCAATTTTCTGAAGCATAACGAACAAGTTCTTACATGGTGAACGAATTCTTACATAGTGAATAAATTCTTAGATGGTGAACAGTACAAGGGCAGTCATCACAGAAACTTTCGGTTTTGATCACGCCTTATGACCTATAAACAATCAGGTCAAATATGAATATT